CAGTCGAATTGTATCCCCAGGCTTCCACCTGGAACTTGTACAGGTTCATGAACGTCACCGNTTTAAGAAGTGTTTGATATGAATTTCAACTTTAATATCTCTACGCGTTCATGTGAAAAAGGGTAGGTAGTAAGTTTATAATTATTAAAAAAATATTTTATGTCATGTAAGCAAAAATAATATTTTAAATTTTATATAACTTCAAATTTATCATTTTCGCAATTTTTCCTTTATCTGTACTATATAACGTTGCTTCGTGCCGAATTTCAAGATTCTGAGTTCACAGGAAGTACCTTGTAGGTTTTGATTCCCTAGCGTGTGACGGAAATTCGTCTAAGGTGTCGGTATAAACTGCTGTATCTTTTGATCGCGTTAACTTAGAAGTTTGATTTTTTTACTTCTTAAAGGGACAATAGATCTAGGTATTTGGTATAAATTTCAATTTGATACCTTTATTCGTTCGTGAGAAATAAGGTAGTAAGTTTCATTTTATTAAAATATTTTTATTATATTATATAACTAAAAAAATGTAATTTTCGCAATTTTTCCTATATTTGCATTATATGACAATGCTTTATGCCAAATTTCAAGATTCTGAGTTTACGGGAAGTATCCTGTAGGTTTTGATTCCTTAGCGAGTGTCGAAAATTTGTTGAAAATATCGACATAATCGGCTGTATCTTTTGATTGGCTTGGCTTAGAAGTTTGATATTTTCACAGCTTAAAGCGACAATAGACCTGAGTATTTCATGTGAATTTCAGCTTGATACGTTCACGCGTTCTTGAGATAAAGGGTCTTGACAGACGGACGGACGGACAACAAAGTGATCCTATAAGGGTTCCGTTTTTTCCTTATGAGGTACGGAACCCTAAAAAATAACAACAACAACATCTCATTCATTAATCAATCACCTGTTTGTTATTTTAATTACTTATATCCAATTAACATGATGTTGCCGAAGCATTAGTTAGTAGTAGCGGACTTACTGCTATATTTGCCATTTCATTTTTAAATATTTGTAGAGCTAAATCGCACATTTCCCAATTACATAAGGTGTTACTTTTAAGTCTCCCCGATACTTCGCGTTGAGCTTGCACTTTGAACTTGACGTGAGAAGCGTACAGTTGAGCTTAATGACACGTGTTGAAAACGAAATTCTGAGCCAAACTCTACTTTTTTTTAATAAATTCTTTCTATGAGTGTTCAAAGAGCCTATATGCCTTGGATAAATAAGACGTCGGCTCACAAAAAACATTTCCTTCTACGATATTATTCTGAGCTTCTACATAGCATCCTCTTCATAAATTATAAACTTGCTCGCCATCCAAACAAATACCAAAACAATGAATTACCTATAACAAAACGACTTTTAATTAGTGCGATACGCTTTGGCTTTGCTCCTTTCTTATTGCAACACATAAAGCCGCTACGTGCCTGTATTAAAAAGTGTGTAATGTGTTTTTTATTGTAGCTCATTATTTTAAGCTAATAGGCACCATGCCGGCCAGCCAATCATTGGCAGAACGTGATCTACTAGTAAAATTATAGTGGTCTGTTATAAGTTGGTCTAATTTTGTACTCTAGCTCTTATGGTGGTATAAACACTTTTTTTCTTAGTAGACCTTGATAAGGTATTTCATCAAGCACTAACTTTTCTCACGAATTTGCACACAAATACATTCACGACTGGACGATTAAATGATAAGTTTTATTAGAAAACTTAATAATAGATTAGTCATAACTTATGTTCAGGATTTTTTTCATAATTTGATTAAATGGAACCCAATCGTCACCTTCACGTTACAACAAAAATAAAGGCATACCAAACTATTACAGACTGGAATATTAAATTAAATTAAAAGAATTTGTCATTCTCAAATATCGGTAAAAGAAATATTCTTCTTCTCTTAATATGAGTAGATTTTATTACTAATATAATATTTTTCTAACACCACTAAGGCTGAGTTGCACTACTTGATTTTAACCGTAACAATAACAATAACCGGTGCTTTTTGTATGGAGTTTGACAGATTTTTGACGTGTGTCAAAGTTAAAGTAAGATGGTGCAACTCAGCCTAAGTATTTGTCTAACATCTCAAGCCATCTAATAGTGTACTGTCAACTGTCACGTCAATCCGGACTGTAGACACGAGAAAGGCTAGACAAATGTGTATACAGGGTGTTTGGGTAACAATAAATCTAAATCAAATACACGTTAGTAATGATACGACACTTATCCTACTAATATGTATTGTGAATGCGAAAGTTCGAATGGATGTTTGTTACTATGTTACGCAAAAACAACTGAACGGATTTTGAAGAAACATTACATTATTACTGTTCATACATCAGAAAATTTCTGATTATTTATTTAATAACATAAAAGGCTATAATTTGTAAGAATCTGTGAGTTTTGTGACTAACTGAATTTCACGTGCGCGATGTCGCGGGCAAAAGTTAGTCCCGAATATAGAATCACTTCTTACAGCATAATAAAAAAACTCTAAGGCTGGGTTGCATCATCTTACTAACCGTGACTAGGTATAACGATAATCGGTGCTTTTTGTATGGAATTTCACAGATTTTTGACGTTTGTCAAAGTTAAAGGATTTTTTCGACATCATATTCTTTAACGTTTTAAAAATTGACTTAGGGTTGATTTTTCAATCGTCGGATAACTTTTAACTGATGAATAAGCTTGTGACAAACATTTGCAGTTTCAGAATGGGAAAATTGAAAAATCAGCCCGTAAAATACGAATTATCCATTAGGCATTAGTGCACCGTGCAGGTCGCTTCTTTACTTAGAAAAAAGGGAAATGCCTACGATGGGATTTGAACCTACGACCTTTCGCTCCCCGCGTTGCGGGCGACTGCTCTTCCAACTGAGCTACATAGACATATAATAGACTTGGCGAAATTTGCAAACATATTGTGCAGTTTCAGTCGTTTGGTGCAATGGTTCATAATAGATTTTTATGTCAGAGGTTCCGGGTTCGATTCCCGCACGGTACAAACATTTTTGCATCGAAATTTACTTTGTTTGTATCATCATCATCATTTCAGCCATAGGACGTCCACTGCTGAACATAGGCCTCCCCCAATGCTTTCCACGTTGATCGATTCGTAGCAGCCTGCTGCCTTTGTTTGTGTATTGTATTAAAAAAAACTGCCATGAAATGTATGACAGATTGTACAGCACCCCTAGCGTTTACCTTCAAGAAGTAAAATCTTCATAGATTGTTTTGACGCACTCGTTAGCGATGACGTTTAATGTAGTAAGCTCATGGTAAAGCAACTGAAGTAATTTGGACTAATTTAAGTCTAACGAGACTGTACCCAACGCATGGATTATAGCCTAACTTAGGTTTTAACATTTAAGTTATCTTTACTGCCAATAAATACGAACTACGGAACCTCCTGATGACTTTTTAACCGACTTCAAGAAAAGGTGGAGGTTCTTTATTCTCTGTCAAGTGTTTTAAAGCAGATGGGTGCAGGTCGTTTCTAATTCGGATCCTCTATGGTCACTATTTTTAGATATTACTGGACTTAATTTTTTAATAACTTGAAAAAAAGGAATGCCTACGGTGGGATTTGAACCAACGATCTTTCGCTTCCCGCATAGCGGGCGACTGCTCTTCCAACTGAGCTACATAGACATATGAGAAACCCGTCGAAATTTGCAAACGTATGGTGCAGTTTCAGACGTTTGGTGTAATGGTTCGAAACGGATTACTATGCCGCGAGGTCCCGGGTTCGATTCCCGGCCGGGCAGAAATTGAAATGATGAATTTTAATTTCTGTGACGGGTCTGGGTGTACCTAAGATATATACGGATTACAACATTTTTTTACACCCTGTATACAGTCCTCATTAGTTATAGCCTAAAGTATAAAACACAGGTGACAAATTTGAGTATTCTTTGTATCTAATATTGAAAGCATTAACGCTTGTGAGTGGTGAAGAGGTATTTCGAATTTGATGGTGCCCGCAGGAGAGCTTTTGGTTGTAGTTGTGGAATTTTATTTATTTGAAACTAATCAATTGATTTTAACTATTTACAATGCAATTTATTATTTATAATGGCAGTTTATGCGGCGAAAAGTAAAAGCTTGAGGCTCTTGAAAACAATGAAGGGCAACTTAAAATTGTATAAAATTCTTGCAAAGTTGCATTCTTGCAAGTTCATATTGTATGTTCGTTATGACATATGTATAATTGCATAATATCGTTAATCTTTACAGTCTACTAATATTGTACCGAACAAAAGTAAATAAATAAAGCTCGTTTTCTCATAAACAGTGCAACGTTCCACACAGTTTTCTTATAATTTCAGCATTTTCAAATGACAAATAGCGCTTAGTTAGTTGAACACAATTAATATGCCACTTTAACACGTTTTTGTTTAAATCGTCATTGATTAAATGATGCATTGTGATTCTTATGAGAAAGTTCACGAAATGAGAGCCTATTAAATGAATTCTCGATTCAATCCATTGTAGAAATCTAGAAAACATCTCGCCAACGATAACGAGATAATTGATTTCTATTAATAATGTATTTTGTTTGTGTAAAATACAAACGCATTATTTATAACTGTTACAATTGGATAATTAAAAGCCAACACTCTACAAAATATTATTTTATCCAACTTAAAAATTATTTTGTTTACAAACATTAATAAATGAACTTATTAATCTTAAGAAGAGTTATTATTATTCTCATCATTACATTTTGGTTTATTTAACTACATTAATAAACCGATTAGCTCTTTTAATTTATATATGGAAGTGTCCTCGTTAAAAGTTTTGAGTCCTGGTAGCACTCTTTTCGCAATTGGGTACCTAATCTCTGCTGAGTAGGTACTATAATCAAGACTTAAACAAACAATTGTACAGGCCACTGAACTCCTTTACATTGTCTCGTTTGAAATAGAAAGTATAAGTGCGCGTGTTAAAACGACCCACCACTAAAAGTCAACATAAACAAGTTCTCACCATGTGTAATACGAGGAGCAAGCCAATAGCCAGCCCGCGGCGCCGCATCCTCACTGCGAACAAAAATAAAAACGTCACATACACGTCTAGGAAAGTTCAAATGTTGGTTTACGTCGTTATACCACTTAGCGGGGAAAGTGCGCGAGAACCGTGGTCAGTTAAAATTCTTTATGAAGGTTTCTGAACTATTGCTTGTTGTTTAGGATATTTTTAGCTGGTCAATATTTAAGTAGGTGTGAAATTTTATAGGTTGAAGCGTTAAAAGAGTAGGTAGGTACATTTTGTGAGTGAGTTTGTCTTTAGGAAATGCTCCATAATGTTATCCGATTGTGTTCAGCATATGTAGTCAAATAAAATCACGTCTGAAATACTTGAATCAAATTAGAGGTGGAATTGTGTAAAGCAATCGTAATCATTTGACAGTTCTTAACGTACGATAAAGTCAGTTAAACAAAGCGTTTAACAGAATAATCGTACGTTATGAACTGTCAAATGATTACGATTGCTTTTCACACTTCCACCTCAGAACTCTTAACAGTCGAAACTTATTCACTCACTCATTAACTTTATCTTAATCTTGACTCTATTCATTAATAAAGAATTTACTAACAAATGTCTTAAATAAAAATGTAAAACGTTAACAGAACAAAAGAACGTCATGTTTGCACAACAATCGCCACCTAAGAACAATCGTTTAAACGTAAACCTCATTATATGAATCAAAACGACGATAACAGCGACTCTCCCATGAGCCTACTTAAAGTGGCCCCAGTTTCCATAATATTGGGGGCGGATTCCGTAGTATTGTCACATCTTACCCACGGCAATCATGCATTACTATTGCGAATTATAACTGTAAAATTGAAGAATGAGTGTCAAATCGGAAGATATATTGACAAGTGGCTTGCAATTTACTTGGTAAAGTCGAGTTATTCTCGAATTAGAGCGAATTTTCATACTAATGTTTTTGTGACCTTGCTGTACCAACATTAAGGCTGAGTTGCACCACGTTATTTTAACGGTAACTATGACAATAACCCTTGCTTTTTGTATGGAGTTTGACAGATTTTTGACTTTTGTCAAAGTTAAATAAGATGGTGCAACCCAGCCTAAATTAATATGCATTCAAAAACGTCAGAGCAATATAATGTTCAATGTATACACTTTTGTGTAGTTAAGTGTTAACTAATATCTTCACAAATATAACGTGTCTGTCTATAATAATACGTAATGCAGGTACATAGTTCAATATTTCACGCTACTGATCCCGTATATCACAATCATGCGAGAATTTATGTGTGCACCGTGCAATGCCAGCATACAGCACCTATCATATCAACGAGCATCAATTTTTCATATGCAATACCAGAATTCCCGCTCTGTTTGCTGCCTTTCGTGAAAGTACCACAACCCACCTCGTCATGGCTATTTAAATGTACGGTCAAACCGTAGAGATTTCACTCAATATCTATGATTTTATTCAATTAAGCTATCATACGAAAAACTATCGTCAATCAGCAGATCGAAGAACGAAGCGTCTATATTGCTTGTGTTACTTGATCCAATTATGTATCAATCTCTAGTTTCACGAGTATTTCGTGCTAAGTGCAATATATTTCATGAGTGAAGGAAGAGTTAGTTATAAAGTCTTGTTTTTATATTATACACCAAATTAGCTTGGAATGAGGAATTCTTGTATTCTGGAATTTAGATGACAGCGGACTTACTAAGACATCGTTAATTTTAATAACTGACGAGAAGTCAATGCTCTCTTGGTTAAAATATTAACGTTAGTAGGTAATCATTATTATCACTTTGAACATGAAGATGAATTAACGCATTATAGACGTCAAATTTCTTCAAGCTCTAAGAGCAGAGGTCATTTTTCTAATGAGACGTAATTTGGCGTCTGCTTACACACATGATCATCAACAGTAAAATAGAAGTAAGTAATAAAGCAAAGGCAGGTAGTTTTGTTAATAGTATTTTACATAATTATATTATCTTTAAATCAAGTACCAGTACCAACATGCAATGAAGCTTTGATTAATATGATCTCATTAAAAGTCTAGTAAATTCCATCTTCAATGGTGAAGTCCATAAAACCCATTTTGATGTCCTATAGAAGATTGTAGAGGCTATATTTTCTTCAAGGTTTTATGACTTGCCTCATAGAAACTAATTCCCTAAATGCCATCAAAATTGAAGTTCCGTTGAAAGTAAAATTACAGATTTAACCGTCACAGTATTAAAGTTTCACCTTCTATTCTCTGGTTCGTTTTGATAATCCGATTACAAAACTTTGATGGTCATTTATGAACCCATTGGTCATTGGACTCTTCATGTTTTTATTATCTGTAGTAAATATTTTATGATAAGTAACTTACCTATTTCGGATGACTTAAGATTTCTTTGTTAACATTTTATTTATGTTGTGTTACGTTAGAATTTGGTGTAAAAATCTGTGTTAAGCAAGAATGGTGAAAGATTAGTGCTTCGAAAGTTATCCCATATTTTAATAAATAGATTATTATCATAATAATAACACAATAGTGATAATTTTATATTACTGTTATTTTATACAAGCGAATCTCATATAAATTCTAGAGAATTCAATTATCTATGCATGTACTCGTAATACCGTAATTTTCTAAATTAAACGGATATTTCACTCAATATTAATAAGAGAAGGAAAAGCTCATGAATTTATACCTTTTATAAAATCTTATTGCCTACTTTCATATTTCATTTTAGTTTCAAACATTTTCTATGAGTGTTGTGCTGATACTAACAACGAAGCAGCCGAGGAAAGTCGGGGGTGAGAGGTCACGGCGAGCCGTGGACTCTATCCCTTTTATCTTTGGGATTTGAAAGCGAAAACCAGTTTGGCATTCCTGAGATGAAGGCACGGGAATGGAGATCTTTTATCGGAGAAACAACCTTGAAGTTTAGGGGAAATGAAACAGGGTAAAATTTGGTTATTCGTAGCGACTTGATAACTAAGTGTAAAGAGCAAGGCTCTAGACACCTCGAATATAAACATATTAACTAATTGAAGGTGAAGAAAGTGTATCAAAATATAGTATCAGAAACACGTTTTGTTGAACAAAGTGAAACACGAGCCACTCATTTAAGATGGGCGTGAATGATGTCTCCGATAAAAGCTGACAGAGAGCGCTCTCGTTCCTCACCACCATATCTCGATTAACTTTTAATTTTTTCCGATTAAAACGAAACCAAAAACAGCATCGAGGCCGACCTGCCAGGCTTAATTGGCAGGAGTACAGAGCTGAGCCGCGAAAGTAAAGAGGCACGATCGACTTTAATCGCCGAATATTTGGGCGTTCCTTGGTGCGGGTTAAATTTTTTGGGCAAGTGGGCCGTGGGACGGGGTGAAAGTGCCGGAACTCTTTGGTCCCAGCTTTTTTGGTGCATACCTCCGGCGGAGTATGCAGGTGAGTGCGGAGTGCCCATTGTGTAATTGCTGGGTGTGCCCACCTGTGCTTTATTGCTGAATGCTCAATGCGCAAGTGTCAATATACCTCGATGCTTTCCAACAACTATAACTCAGGTATCGTGAATGCAATCTTCGCCATCTGAACTTGAGGTACTAAATCTTCAAGGATGTGTATTTAGAGTGGCAGATTTTGCTATTTGGATTTCTTAGGTGAGTTTCTTCTTAAACCCAAATGATCCATGACAATAGGTGGCTTGAGTTAATCATAACAATTGTTTTCATTTCAAATTCAATACTTATCTGTCAATCTACAATAGGCCTAACGATAAACCTCAAAAATGCGAGCCATTTGTCTTCTACTATTATCTAGAATGTAATCTCTTTTGTCTGATTAAGTAGCTACAGTCATTAATATAAATTAAACTGATCCGTTGTATTGGGGTCCAGCTATTTAAAACCACTTTCATTGTCGGTATTCTAACAGCCGTCATTAACGACGCTGTGAACTGGCCGAGTCCTCCAATCACCATCGTGATCTCTAATTTTGATGATCATATTATCAACGTTGTTACGTGCTTCTTTATCAATAACAAGAATTCCGAAGCTTTGAATAATAGACTTAGTGTGATCGAGACCTCACACGTTATATTGATTGTCTTGTTGCTTTCAAGTAACTTAATTTATACTACTATTTACTTGATTAATATTTATGATACAATTTATATGAAATAGTAGATCTTTGAAATACTCTGATCATTATCTGTCATTATAAAAGATGTTTGATCTATTAAGTTACCACGTGGGATAAGAATTTAGGCCTAAACTAAAATAACAAAATCCAAGTTCAAACTGACAAAACAAAACATTTCAATCTTGAACTTCCCACTACTATCGCCAAACAATAAGAGTGAATTAAAACACGGTCAACGACCTATTCAATTAAGTCGCTCATTACTTCGTGTACTTGATCATCTTGTTCAAATTTCATCTCTGTTGCCATTGCATAAGGTTGAATGGTTTTGGTATCAAAGATCAAAGTCACGATGAGTCTCACGAATATGCGCCGGAGTACTTTCACTGCGGACTTGACCCGATTCGGGCGCAGCCCTTCATCGGAAACAGATTTATTCGTAGCTGGTATGATTAGTAGATGTTATCGGCTATTTATTTCTAAGTAACTTTTAGGTTTTAGATTATGTGCCTATCTAATGATAAATACACTAAGTCAATATTTCTTGATTATTCTCTTATCTAAAAAAAACCTTTCTATAAATATTTTAATATTTAGTACTTCATATAATAAGTACTTTAAATTGTCTTCATCTATCCCATACTTATGCAGGTATTTGATATTCAAAAGCGCAGATAAATCTATACAGCCATTCAAATAGTGTATAGTATGGGGAAGACCGAAAACATCCCGCGAAATGTCTAAAGCTTTGTAAATATTCTCATGGAGTAATTTTAGCTACCACAATAGGTATTCAAATGTGTAAAATCCAATACTCGTCACACTAAGATCGGTCCCAATGGGGATTCGAACACTATAGCTGAACGGCCATGAACACCACCAAGAGAAGATCGTAAAAGCTCTAT